GCTGTGACGCTGCCTGCGGGCCCGGGGGCTGGACGGGGCCCAGGAGGGAGGTGTGCCTGCATGGCGGGGGCCGGGCCACCTTCCAGCTTGGGGGGCAGGCGCTGCCTGCGACGCCAGCTGGAGTTGCCCCCCTGCCCCACCTGGGTACGGATGTCGGGAGCAGACGCGGCCCACGGGGCCTGGCCTGGCTGACCCGGCCCCTGCCCTCTCCCCACAGCCCTGCTTGGAGCCGTGCCCGGCTGGAGGTAGCCAAGGGGCTGCCCCCCATCCCCAGCCTCAGCCCTCTCCCCACCTCAAGACAGCTCCTTCCCCGTCCAGCGGCGCCTGCAAGGAATCGACAGCGGTCACGAGATGAGGCTTTATTCCCGGCCCAGCCGCGTGCCTACAGACGGCAGTGGGGCAGAGAGGGGCCACGCAAGGCAGCCGGGGGCAGGCATCTTTGGTACCATAGCACGTGTCCTGAGCCGAGACCCCTTCTGTGCCAGGGGCATCCAGGCCCCCCCGGCAGGGCTCACTGCCTGCCCAGCCAGGGCGCATGGCGGGGATGGGGCAGCGATTGGGTTGCTACCCCTTCCCCTCCCTCAGGACAGGGGCATAAACCCAAGGACTCCGGCTGCACTGGCCCCTTTCCCCAGGGGCTAACGCAAGTTGGGAGCATCGGGCTCCAGCGCACGGCAGGGGGAGACGTGGGCTCTAGGTGGTAGTGGCAGTAGAGGAGGGGGGTCCCACACAGCTGGCTCCCGGCCCAGACAGTGGCCAGCCCAGCAGCGAGTGCACCCCACTTCACTGCTCCCCCCGGCCAGGCCTGCCCTGCACGTTACTGGCCTACATGCCCCAGTCTGCCCAGCAGGAGGGGGCCAGCCCCCCCCAGCGAAGCCACAGGCTATCCTCTAAAGCATCCACTACTGGCCAATGCAGGGGACGACGCAGCACCCCAAGGTCCGCTGGGCGGGCAGGCGGGGGGCTGGGCCCGGCGGGACTCAAGGCCCGCAGTTGTCCACACAGTCCTGCCCGCTGTGGAAGAGGCGGTAGATGCTGACGAGGGGGAACATGGCCAAGGCGCCCACCAGGGAGCCGGCCTGGATGACGGCGCCGCACCAGAGCAGCTCGGCGTGCCCCACCTCGTGCAGCAGGCTGCCGATCACCACCTTCACGTACGAGAAGAGGCCCAGGAACAGGATCCACGACAGCACCTGCCTGCGGGGAGAGGCTGCTTCAGCCCCTGCCTGCGAGCTGGGGCTTCCTCGGGGGTGGGGGGGGGACTGGGGACTTGGCCCAGCTCAGAGCAGACTTGGGACAGAGAACCAGAGCCAGCAGCTCCCGTAGATCCACCTTCTAGGGGCTGGAGCCTGGGCCTGGCCCCACAGCTGGAAACGGGGGTGCTGACAGCGTGCTCGTGATGCCCAACCTGGCCGCAGGAGACAACCTCAGTGCAGCCAGGAGCAGGGGCCGGCCCCACTACCCCAGGAGAAGTCCCTGCCGTTTAGAGCCAGGCGGGTGGTACCCAGGAGAGGTGGCAGGGGCAGACACCCCCTCCCCAGCAGATGCCCCATGGCACCAGGAGAGCTGGCAGCCCCTGGTACTCACCACGAGGACAACCCCTGCGGCGCTCCCCACCAGCGGAGGGCAAGGGCTCAGAGCTGCCAGCACCATCAGGTAGGCTCCGAACACACCTCCCAGCGCGGAGATGACGCCCAAGCCCACCGCCGACCTGTGGGCAGAGAGGACAGGGTCACAATGCTGCCGGCGAGCTCCGCCCGGGCCCAGAGGTCGGGAACAGAGTCCAGGGTGGGCCAAGTCCGTGCCCACACGCTCCAAGGGCAGTCACTTGCCCTGGGTTAGCAGCCCAGGATCTCGACTTGTCCCGTGTCTGCGCCTAGCATGCCCTGCCCAAGTGCAAGGTACACTGTTTGAACGGGCCCGTGGACCTCATGGGGGGCTGGGACCATTCAAGAGGGGTTCCCTCCACCCAGCCACCTGGCCGGTACGCAGGACAGGAACTAGCTCTCGCGAAACCAGGACACGGGTCTTTGACCATTAACGGTGGGGCACCAGCCCCGACACCTCTGCCCTGCGGAGGTGGGGCGGGGGAGCTGCCCGCACTCACCTGCACAGCACGAACATGGCCAGGAAGCAGGCGACGGGGTTGGCGATGTTGCTGAGCACGACGGCCAGGTGGTAGGCCAGGCTGCCGTAGGGCAGGCAGGAGTAGCTCTGCACCGAGGGCAGCACGCCGTTGGTCAGCGCGTTGGACAGCCCCAGCAGCCCCAGCAGGTAGATGGTGCGCCTGCTCCAAAAGGAGGGTGCCAGGGTGGTGGGTGCTGGTACCGCGGGGGTGCTGGCTGGGCTGGGGGTGCCGTCCTGAAGCGGGAAGGACTCCTCCGTGCCCACGCTGTCCTTGGAGGGGCTCTTGGGCATGGCCGGCCTCAGCCCCAGGAAGGCGAGGGCCGAGACAGCCAGCATGGCGAAGAGCAGCCAGAAGTAGGTGGTGGCCGAGAAG